GCCCCAAGATGCCGTTCGAGAGCCTCCGAGGGGGGGGGGGGGGAATTTTCCCCCACCCTCTTTTTGAACCATGGTGCCCAAGAGAGCCCCAAGTGGGACCCCCTCCCTCTTTTTGAACCATGGTGCCCAAGAGAGCCCCAAGAGGGACCCAAGAAGGCCCAAGACGGCCCCACGATCGCCCAAGAGGCGCCCAAGAGCGTCCCAAGGCGCCATTTTTGAGCCTCCGAGGGGGCGATGCTAATTGAGGGACCTCCTCTTTTTGAGCCATGGGGCCCAAGATGGCCCCAAGACGCCTCCCAGCCTCTCCCAAAGGCCCTCCGCCCGGCAATTTTTGGCCCAGGATGGCTCCAAGAGAGCCCCAGATAGCCCAAGATGGTCTTAAACATGGCCTAAGATAGCCAAGCATGGCTCAAGATAGCCTCCGACAGCCCTCTAAGCTCCAACAAGGCCTCAAGGCAGCCTCAAGATGGCCCAAGATAGCCGAGCATGGCTCAAGATAGCCTCCGACAGCCTCTAGCCGAGCATGGCTCAAGACAGCCTCCAAGAGGCTTCAAGAAAACTGACAATCAATTGTGGATGGGCTGGTGGGGATACTTTTTTGGTTCGCGGCTCCAAGGAGAAGCCCAAGGAGCGGGCACAACGTCCGGGGCGCGGTACGATGTAAATTTGCCGCAATGGCGTATGCACGTGCCAGGGACAAAATGCCCCTCCTTGAGACGCAGACAGCGTCAGCGGGTGACCGGCACAGAGGCGCGGTAAGCGGCGGTGGAACGGGGGGGAGAAGTCGCACTTGCGGCGCCAAGCTCCAGCCGACCCACATACGGAGGAGAGGCCAGGACAAGCGGCGAGGCACAGTGCAGAACGAGGGTCCGAATGGCCATTGCCAAGCGATGCCTGCATGCTAGGGCACAGTGCCGAGCAGACCACGGCCACGGAAGGGGGAGAGAAAGAGCGAAAGCGAGCGACAACCACAGGCACACTGCGGTACAATGAGTAACTGGTGGGGATGCGCGAAGCGTCAAGAATTTAGATGTAGCGCAAATGAGTTCTGATGGAAAAAGGCATACTTCCATGCAGTTCCCACTGGAACCTTTTTTATCATAGTATAATGCGTTGTGAAACACCTACTGTTCCATTTAAGTCCAATCCTGTACCTGCATTGAAACGAAATTCATATTGACAGCCTGAATGTCCAACGACGTCTTCTTGGAAACCGCCTCTACTTTACTTGAATTCCAACTTGTGGGTTCAATGTTGACAGAGCTCCGCTTCGGGATTCTGTTTATATTGGGGTTCCACTCGGGACTTACATATCTAGCGACCTCCTATTCGACACATCCGTTTGAGTCTACTTCCTGCTGAAAACCTATATTGACATTAAACTTCGATTGAAGCGGATTTGCTTCATTGAGTTCAGATGGAACACTCACGCACATATATAATATATGTGTGTATTATATATATATATATATATATATGTATATATACACACATACATATTGTAAACCTGCACGAACAACTATTTACACATGTAGATGCGTGTGCTATATATGTATGTATACCACTCGTACCTTGAGGCGGAATCAGAGCTCCCAACAGGCGTGCCTAAAAGGCGCTCTAGAGAGATCAGCCAGAGCCTGCATGGCTCTGCGCAGCGTGTAGAAGAATCGGTCGAGAGTTTCCTCTGACGCAAGAGGGGCGGGCTCGGGGGCGATGCGTGCGACGTTGTAAAAATGGAAAGCCCGCACCACCCGCTCCACCTCCTCAGGCGTACGGGAGCCAGCGATGCCAATTCGCTGAGCCAGCGACGAGGGGGGCTCCTCTGGGTGGTATGCAATGCCCCACAGCGCTGGACAGCGTATGTACTGGGCCATGCCATCCCTGCAATCTACGCAACGAAAGCGACAGCCCCGAATCTCTGTACTGTGCAGACGGTAGCTGGTGGGCCATCCGCCCACCGCAGTCTTCAGGACCGCGCTTTGCCACGCTGGGGGGCCTCCATCACGGGCCAGGTCCCGAAGGGGGGCCCACTGCAGGGCGCTAAAATCTACACCCCAGGAGGCTAGGCGCTTGGAGATTGTGTCCTCGAGAACATAAGGACAATTAGCCTGGCGAAGGACCCAGCCATATGCAGCTGTGAGTACCGCTATTTTGAACATCTTCTTCGGTGGCGAGCCCTGCGGGGCCGCGAGCCGTGCGAGGGGGGTGCCGACATGTGTGGCCGGGTACACGATGCGAGCGGAAGACGAAACGGAAGACGATCGGCCTGAGTATGGAATCTTGAGCGCGGGTGAGCCTGGGCGCGAGTGAGTCTGATTATGAATGAGTCAGCGTGCGATTGATTCTATTTGCATGACTGCGAGCATGGATGCGCCTAGTGTAAATGTCTCCGAGTGTGAACTCGCGGCGCTGAATGTAGCCTCCGCAGGGGGCTTCCCGGGGAACCCCGACGGCGGCGCCCGCGCGCCGCGACGCCCATGTCGGCGCGCCCCACCGAGGA